CAGCCACGAAGAAGCTGTGCACCATGATGACCTGCAGAAACTACTTGGGAGCCACCATTTCCCTCTGAGACCACTGGCACCCCACTGGGCAATCATCCTGTGCTCCCTCCTGCCGTGCGTAAGCCCTCTGATTCCACTGCTGAATTTTACACGTGCTGCAAACGTCTGAGCATCCTCCAGTCCTCCTTGTTCTCAGCTGCCCACGGTTCTCCCATCAGACCAGCCTCGTCTCCACACATTCCCTCCCTCCTTCCCTCCTTGCAGGTCTCCTCCATCCCCGAGAGCACACCAGCCCCACCACGATGGTCAAGTGCTAATGGCTGGGTCACTAAGGTCCGTACTTTTCTATAACACAGGTGGAGGCAGCTTAGGTTTTACTTTTCCCAACTCTTGCCCTGCCGTAGACCCTAACAGGACAGTCTCTCCCCCTTGGCTGTGGGCAAGGGCATATCTTCCTATGGGTGCTGAAGGACCTTTTGGTGCTTTGGCCATGTAGCATGGACTATGACCAGGAGCGCAACACTTTTCTTCAGAAGGACTGAGCTGCGTATGAATTGTCCCCACCAAGTGTCCTGTTTGCTTTTCCATTGGGAAGGTCTGTATACCTGCTCCGCACCCTAGGATTTATTCAGGTTTTCTTTTCTCCCAGTGGCTGCTGGCACTTGAAGGGAAGAGGATCTGTGTTCTGTTCTGCAAGGGAGATATGAGCACCTCCCAGGTTTAAGCCATAAATTTCTACTTGAAGAGCTAATAACAATGCATTTTTTGTAAATCACAAGTGATGTTTTAAATACATTTTAGCTCTCCCATCCTGTTTTGTCCTTATTATTTTGGCAAACTGGGAAAGGGGAAGAAAATAGTAGTCTTTACCAGGCTATAGACATTTTCTCATACATCAGCCTCACGCAGCTTGGTGTTTTGCTACCACAAAGCTATCACAAGTGAATCGTGACAGGCAAGCATTAGGTTTCAGAGTTAGCTGTGCTGAGAGGCCCTCAAACCTTTCCGAGTTGCAATTTTGAAGTGTTTTGGGGCTAGAAATGCAAAAAAGGCAGCATCCTCCTTTGAAAAAGGGCTAGTGAATTGGTGTAGAGCAGCACCAGATCTATGAAGCGTGAGGAGAGAATGCCACCAATGGTGTTAAACTCCCTCCCCATGCCCCACATCCATAGCTGGTTCATAATGTGTATGTGAAGAACTAAAATAGGAGGTGGAGAGTGTGTGGGTTGAGGAGTGGTGTGCACCATGAGGTCCTCAGCCTGTCCCCTGGTATCCAGGTGAGGGACTTGGCTGGGACAAGCTGTGGTCCCCTGATCACGGCTTTTAATATGTATTAGGAAAAGCCACCTCAATGCACCTTCATCCATGTATCTAGCTGCTGCTTGGCTATTATGCAGTGATGTCGTGCTCATACTTACCTTTCCCATCCTCAGCAGCCTTGTCCAGGCAGAGCCTGGCCAATCAGACCTGTGGTCTCCTGTAACGCCTTATGCCCTGTGGCATCTCAGCTACTATTTTTGTTGCTTCCCACCTAGCAGGGTCTGACAATGCCGTTAAGCACATGGCTGGTAGTCTGACTCCCACACACAAACTTTTCACCCAGTACTTCCTACATCCAGTGATTCAGCTCAAAGCTGGCCTTTGTGAAGGATCCAGCCCTTGTCTTAGAGGATGAGTAATGGAGACTCCCTGAGCTCCAGTGTTTTTTACCCCAAAAGAAAAGACTTCACTTAATTTCCCATCTGGGCACACTGATGATTTGCTCCCCATTGCTGGATACTCTCAGCAGCAGTCCCACTCTGCAAGAAGAAGCCTTGTCCCCAGTGAAGACCTGGGAGCCCTGAGCCCATCCTTCCCCGCAGAGACACCACCACAACCACGCAACGCAGAACAGCCTCCCGCAGACCACTTGGTGCTTTTTAATTGGAGTATTTTGCTCAGACATACGTTTTTTGTGTTACATCACTTGGTGTGGATACAAAGAGGCCAGTAGATGCTAATACATATGACACACAGGCACACGCACACAGAGTCCCGGCACCCCCCAAAACGCTGGGGTGCATGGGAGGAGGCTGACAGAGCTGTGAGTGGAGGGACGAGAGTGGTGGCAGGGGAAAGCTGGCCCAGAACAGTACTGGAAAACCTTGCTATGCTGCATCATCTACTGAGTGTGCTGTGGGAGGCAGGGATGGGTGGAGACTCAGGAAAAGCAGTAGTGATGGTGGGGTTGAGGGCCATGTGTCTAGGGATGGGCGAAATCCCTGGGACAGATGGATCATGGCAGCTAGGGAGGGGAGAGAAGCATCAGAGACGGATGATGAGAAGGCAGCTTGGCTCCCAGTGCAGCCTTGGCTGGTGTAACCATGCTCCCATTACCAGAGGGCCTTGGGTAGGGGACGGTGCAGGAAGGGGATCTCCTAGCAGCCCTGTCTGGCTAGTGGATGTCTCCATGTAGCATCTTATTTGCTTTGGTGGAGCAACTGAGGTCTAAAGTCACTGCTGCATCCCAGTCAGATGTCACAGTCCTTGAGGTCCAGTAGGCAGTGCTGGTGACTCCGCCTGGCACAGCATGGTGTTGGGGGGGGGGACTAAGCCCAGCTGAGCTTAACAGAACAACACACAACACCCTGCAATATGGACTTTTATGAAAGCAGCCAAACTCAGCTCAATGCACAGGACCAAGAGTGATCTCCCACATCTACTGAGATCCACTCGACATTAGTGACGTCAGCACCAGGTCTTGGTGGACAATTCTCACCCTTCCTGTTGCCACGCACCCAGGCATGTGCTCCTTTGAAGCCTGGGTTTTGGAAAGGCACGCCAGGGTCCTTCCCCTGCACCCCACCAGACACAACATGGCTTTAACCTCCTCTCTGCTGGCAGGTCCCATCTGTGCTCCAAAGCAGGCTAGTCCATATTGCGTGGCATCGGGGGGAAGATGGGACAATCAACCAGAAGATTAGTACAGCCTAACGAGGATGAAGAAAAGCCCACTGAAATCACTGGCCTCGCTGTGAGTGGTTCAGGTCCAGCTGGGACTCGTGAAGAGCCATTTTATACAGCAACACACACAAAAGCACAATAAAATCATGAGACGTTTCCAACCCTGATGGCCAAGTCCATATTTGAATTACAGCTCAACACAGGCTTGGCCTCAGTCTTCCAAGCATGGGGACTTCGGAACACCTACATCCATGTTGAAGTTCGCAGGAAAGATCCTCCCAGGGTTAATTTGTCTGGGCACAGGGAGCAGAAGGAGATAATTCATCTTCCAAGCTTCACTTCCAGCTGTGCCCATAACTTGCAAAAGATACACCTTGCTCAGCCTCCGGCAATTGTGGCTCTGGGGGAATCCCTGGGCGAGGGATTGTCCTGCAGGTCGCCCTCAGCCCCGAGTCCACATCCAGATACCGACACAAAATGCAGGTTGTTTTTTGTTTGTTTGTTTGTTTGTTTTTTTCCTTTTTAATATTTTAAAAAATAAATAGAAGAAGAAACAAAACTTTAAAATTTGTTCTTTAAATATTTCCAGCATTGCACAGACAGCACTTTAGTACTCTAGCCTGTTCGATCAGTAGTTTGCTTATTCTGATTACTGGTTAAAATGTGCTCCTCCCAGTCTGCTTTTTCTTTCTGTCCTCCGTAAGAACACAACATATTCTTCTGTATTGTCAAATAACAAGCCCTGCAGTGTTCATTGGATACTTTTCCAGCATGAGTCAGGGCTCTGTTATTCCTCTGCAAACCTGAAATGCTCATAACCTCACCAAAAAGCTGTTGGCATCCTGATAGCTCTCTCTTACTTAAGAAAAAACCAAACCAAACCAAACCAAGCCACACACGCACACACACACACACAAATCCTCTTCCAAGAGCCTTTGCGATGCCAACCGTTGGGTTCAGGCAAACCTCCTGCCAGAGTGTCTTTGCTCAGTCACCGAGAGCGGTGGTGTCCCCTGGAAATCTTTGAGGTGTAAGATGGAGTCGAGGGGCAGGGTGGGGAAGGAGAACGGGAGGTCAGAGATAGTCGTCTTCGCTGGAAGGGGTGGTGGGATTTGAGCCCTCAAGGTCAGAGTCCAGCGAACTCCCTGATGGCGTTCGGCTCATCTTCCACATCTGGGAGGCGAAGGTTCTCCCCCAGCTGCACGGGTAGCCCACAGGCCTCAGCTGGTGAATTACTGCCAGTGGCTTCTTGCAGTTCACTTGCTACCCTTTGCACTCCTCTGTTTGCTCATGGCTGTTAGCATCTGGCTGATGTACGAGGTCAAAAGATCATCCATCTTGTAGCCCTGAGGAGGAGAGAGAAGATGTTACTTCACTTCAGAGCACAGTTTACAGTATTTGGCTTCTGCTTCCTGAACACACTGGCTACTAGTTGTTGACTTTCAAGTTTTCAGGTACATTTTGACCTATGACTTTCAAGTTTTCAGGTACATTTTGACCTGTTCCACCATTCTCCTTGGGTGAAATGACACCACCACAAGGAACACAGTCCGAACACAATGCAGTGCTGAGATGGAGGAACTTGTTGTCCCAGGATGCTGTTGAAGCTAAGGATGTAGGGAGCTTTGGGTGGGACCTGGATTTTCAAATGGCCAACAACATCCTGAATG